TCTCTTGTTGAGAGATGGGAAAAGAGAGAGTCTTCTAGCACTGATTATTCACCACAAATTGGTTCTAGTGGTGATCGGGCATCAAGAAATGACAACCCTCCGTCCCATCTGGTATGTATCCATACGTTTTGACTATTGTTATTCATAGTTGATTGTACCTCATCTTGATCCACTTGTATTGTGGTATCTTTACTCCTATGTGCTCTCCTAGTCTTGGCCATGCCTAAGAATTACAACTGTGTTGCTTAAACTACTGCAGCTACACTGGATCTTATCTATTTTTCGTATTTTTACTTGCTATAGTAATTTTGCAGCTACGTTGGATCTTATTTCGTTTTCATATTTTTATACTAGTTATAATTATAATGATGTGATGTGATGTGGGGGCGCCAATATGAACGGCGCCCCAGGGCTAGGGATGTGGATAGAAGGGCCAGAGCGGCATCCAAGGAGACCCCAGCTGTAATCAGTAGCAATTAAGTATTATGGGGAAGGGATTAGAGTAATGAGAGAATGATTAATGGGGTGAGAAACGAGGAGACCAGAGCTGGGCGCCTAGAGGCTGGGCTGCTCTATATATACTCTGTAATCAGCTTATGAGAAATCAATCAAGAAACAAGTTATCTCCTAATCTACCTCTGCTTCATCTTAATCTCACCCCCTTCTACCTTGGTCGACCAGGTAACAGCCCTGGCACCATTGCCGACTTTTGGCTATGAACTAAGGAGCCAGGGGCCACCATCCTTGGGCACTAACGCCTTTGACATGTGAACTCTGAATCTTTTGAGTCCCGACTGCCACATGCATTTAGAGAAGGAAGAAGTCTATTTTTAATTTTTATCCTTGGCCATCGAACTATCAAAATCTGGCAACTTTTGCAAAAGGCCGGTTTCAAAGGTTGCTAGTGTTTTATTGCTCATAGTAGCAATCGCTATTTATTTAAATTATCGTTTTGCGCTTTATTAAACCAGGAGCCAAACCAAAAGTATCCAATGGATTCTCTCGAAGGTGATGCTAACCTCACAGATGCCATGTTCCACCACATATAGATCCTATTTAGGCACTGCATGGCTAGTGCTTTACTTTATTTTGATCGCTTGACTAGGTCATAGGTTTCAAATAAGGCAGGTGCTCAAACATCATGTGATCAACATAAAGTAAAGCGCAAAACGATAATTAATAAGGCAGGTGCTCAAACATCATGCAATCAACATAAAGTAAAGCGGAAAATGATAATTTAAATAAATAACGGTTGTGCCTACGAGCAATAAAATAGTAGCAACAGGAACAAGTTAGATCCAAAGAATTCTAAATAGAGTACCAATAGATAGATTGTATTTTTAGAACAAAAAATAGTACCTGTTTTGTATTTTTATTTTAAATGAATTAGTTTATGAATTTTTAGAGATTTAACCATGTTTTTATTTAGAAAAATACATATATAGGCAAAATCACCTTTGAAAAGTTGTCCAGTTTTGATAATTTGATGGCCAAAGATGTCTGGTTTTGGAGTCGATGGCCAAAATTGAACATGAGCGGTAGTTTGATGGCCAAAAGTAGACTTCTTCTTTTACAGAAAGAAGTAATGACAGAAAGTATTTTCACAAACTAGATACAGAATGCTGGGACAGATTTTGCTTTCATGTTTAGGGAATTTATCACATATTCCCATTGGAGATTAAAGTTTTTTTTTTTTAACTGGATTGGAGATTAAAGTGTACTGAAACATTCATACACTACTAGTACAGAATACAACTCGAACATTGTTCAACTTTGCTCTACTTCTATTTGTTCATGCTATGTAGCATTCTCGAAAAATCTTTGGCTGTTCAAATTTGGTGATGATTGCAATTAACAGGCAGAACCAAGTACAACATATGAAAAGGATCTGTCAACAGTGGATGAGGTGATGGCTCCTGCCAATTTAGTGCGGAACCATGATGAATTCATAAATGCTGTAAAACTTCGGTTGACAAAGCTAGAGGTGACTCCTGTTATTTACTTGCTGACTGCTGTTTGTACCAGTTCATGTGCTTCTGTTATGGCGAGCAGACCGGCAGAGGACCGGTCCACTTGCCATAACAGCTTCATTGAATTCTCTGTGAACTTACATCCAACAAATAGAGAAGCTGTCATGAAGGAAAAATCATTCTGGTTAGTTTTTCAATATAATTAGAACGTTGAACACCAAAATGGGGGTGTTTGGTTGCTAGCCACACTTTACCTTAGGCAAGTTTGAACAAGTTGGCAAGTGTTTGGTTGACAACTAAACTTAGGCAATATTCTTTTGGGCTCCACATGTCAAAGTAAAAAAGTGTGGCAAGATTCCCCTAAGGTTAGTGGTGGCAAATTATGGCCAGGAACCAAACAGCCCCTATGTTTCATGGGTCCACATGTTTGTGTGACATTAGTGGCAAATTGTGAACATGTAAACTTATTCTGTGGTATAGTCTAGTATCTTTCACATCCTTTAGGCTCATGTACAGAATACGCATGCTCCTTTTCAAGTAATGTTGATCAGCCTCCTACATTTATTCTGTGATGAACCGATATAATTTTAGTGTTTTATGTACTCAGATGATGCGGCATGTCTTTGAACAAAGTGGTATCAAAGGAGCAATTGCTGCAGTGGCAAAGCTACCTGACAATGCTGTAAGTTTCTTTAAGATGTATGATGATTATGCATGGCTGTACTTCATAATCTTTTTTTCTTTTTTAGCTACTGATTGTCGAGATTATAACAGGTTCAAGTTGATGTTGTTAGTGCTCTCAAAGGGAAGCTTGATCTTTTCAACCTGGAAATTTTCTCAAGCTTTCTGCCTGTTCTTTCTGGGTTACTGTGTAGCAAGACTGAAAGGTAATGTGTTGGATGTTTTATTTCATTGCAAGTCTATCCTTATTTGAAAGAGAGAACATCCCATGTCAATATTCTTCATTATCTCTGACTCATGCAAATATTGGCATCCTACATTAGGGAAAAAAAACAATTGATTGAGCAGTAACCGTGTCTCACAAAATGCCATTACTTTGCCTCAAATTTGCAGGCATGCTACGGTTTCTTTGGAAATGTTATTGGATCTTATAAAGATTTTTGGACCAGTAATTCATTCAACATTATCAGCAAGTTTAGGTGTTGGAGTTAACATTCAGGCTGAGCAGAGGTATTGACTTGTCAGCTCATTAGCTGCAAAACTTAGGACCTGCTTGTTTACCCCCATACTGTATAATCCAGCTTATACAAGCTCCAGTGATCAACAGACATTCTAACTAGCTTATATAATCCAGGCACCCCATCTTATATAGTCCTATAAGCTGCCCTGGACCCAACTTATTTCTTCCACACCTATAAGCTGGATTATACTAGATGTCATGAGAGACTGTTGTACTAAATCAAACCATAGAAGACTGAAGTCACTAAACCTTGCTTTTCTAATGCAGGTTGCAACGTTGCACACGGTGCTTTAACCATTTGCAAAAGATTCAACAAACTTTGAATCTATTGATTATGTAACTCTCTCCCTTTCTCTTTACACACCATCTTTCGCTCCATTTCTCAATTCTGTATCAGTTGCTGCAATGGGACATTGTTTGTTTTCTTCTTCTAATGTTGTTCTTTTCCTTTTTGGTACAGGCGGGGTGGTCAAGCTGCACAGCTTGCTCAAGAACTAAATCTTTCATTGCAAGATTTGGCGGTGATCTAGGTCGGAGGAAGTTCATGTATACGACAGAGTAGATACCATTCTTTTTGGCAAAGAGTGCCCACAGTTGTGTAGCTTGTAATTTTGTGGGTCTTGCACTTGTGTTTTGACTTGGGCTGGCATTCAGCCTGGTCCCCTGTTGTATATGTGAGCCTGGCCGTGCATCAGTCTGTAATTAGCCACATCTGCTGTATGGGCAACCTGAACAAAGACTAGTTGAAAGGAAACAATCACAAAGGGGATCATTTTGGTTACGCCGCAGGTGATAGGATGGATCATGTAGCATGTGGTGATTGTTCATTCCATTTTTATCATAACCGATTACAGTTTGAACGAATGAGGAATGGACAATGCTCAGTTTGACTTGGATCGGATATACCAAACTGGCTGCTACAAGGCCTAGCATGCGAGTATGTACTGGGCTTGCATTGCCTTCAGCACTAAGGATACAAGAAACAACCTATAGCACATTCTCTCCTTTATTTATTATTAGTAGTACATTTTTATGACATTTCCGGGTAGTTGCAAATCATTCTTCTGCCGTGTATCAAGAGATGATACATATATTATGTTACTCTTTTCCACGGTTCCAGTCCAATGGCATGTTTGTTTAGTTTGTGGATGACATGACAAAGACAAAGTAATGTTCCGTCTGGGATTTTCCATTTGTTTACCCGGGAGATTCAGCTTGCTTGGTGCCTAGCGAGAAATATTACCACATGTAAATAATAAATTTGGTTGCTGATGTTGATTTGTTGGGAAAGGAAAACACTGTTTGTTCGCTGAGAAGTATTGCTGAAGGAGTGCTGCAGAACGTGGTGATAATCAGAACTCAGCGTAAGTAAACTTGGAAGCTTCTTTCGTTAATGACAATTAAACCTGCCAGTACCCGTTGATAATCGCTGACAGTTATCTTGTCCTGCAGAGCTGAAGGAGACGCCATTGCGGTCGTACTCGTACCGCCATTTTGTTCCACCTTGCCGGTCCAACCGGCTGCCAACCCATCCCCACCTGTCGTCCACACACCGCCACGCGTAAAATCGCACCAGTCAACTCGGCAGCACGGGGACGCAAACGCAACGCAACAAGCACACCTGCACTGCACAAGGGGCAGGAACAAATCCGAAATTCCAAACCCACTTCGTCAAGTAAACAACACCGGCTAAATTAAAAGCGGCAGCGCGTAGCGGTTGGTCGCCACCGTCACGTTGGAGGTTGGACTCCGCCCCCCTGCTGTCCTTGCCTTCCTCCGCAAAGGAGACCCCGCCGCCTCAGCTGCCGCTCCAGCAGGAGGAGGCAACCATGGCGGGGAGGTACGACCGCAACCCGTTCGAGGAGGACGACGTGAACCCCTTTGCGGTGAGTAATCGTTGTACTTGTTGTTGCTGGGTAGCAATTGCTCCCCAATCTAGGCGACTAGGCCGCGATTCATCTAGTAGCCTTGTGGAAGCTTGTTCCAGCGCTTGCTTGTATGCAGAGAATCAGAGCTGGGCTTGGGTCCGGGTTTCTGGCCGTTGGCGCTGGTTTCTGGCCTTGACGCTTCGTTGAGACCCCTGGAAGGTGCTGGATGCTCGGATCTGTCGAATAGTTGGCGCTAGGATTGGTGGTTCAGGATCCGGTTCGGTTATGGGGTGCCGTTTTGTGCTTGTGCTTGCGTGGTGCTCGCTGATTTCGAGTTGTTGCAAGGATAGGGCTTGGCTGTGCTTGTATCTGTTGTTTGGGGGGTTTTCAAGGGAGAAATGATGCTTGAACATGGAAATTGATGCTTGGGTTGGGGGGTGTGGGGTTGGCAGCCGTGGATTTGTGGGGTTATATTAGGACCTTCTCATTGTAGTGGGTGTGTGAAAACTTATTTTATGGGGGAATTTACACATAGGGCTGTTGGCATCAATATTCATAAGATACAATATGCTAATGGCACAAGGGAATTGAGGGCTGACTGCATATTTTTTTGGGGTGAGAATTATTAATGACACAAGGGAATTGAGGGCTGTTTGTAGCATCAGGTCTTTGCTGAAGTTCTTTCTCCTTGGGAAATTGGCATGTGGCTGCTTGTGCTCTTGCATCATGAGTTTGCGACTCGGTATGCCTGCTTGATGTGCTCCATCTAACACTTACCGTACTGTCAATTCAGAGCTTTAGGGCCATAGTTTTCTGATATCTTCTAGATAATGCAAACCAGGCTTCCAGCTGGTTCTTATTTTCCACCTGTTTTCTTTAACTTTTTGATCGATCTTCCAATTGCATCCTATTCTGCAGGGAGGAAGTGTACCTCCTGCTTCTAATTCTCGGATGCCACCTCTTCCTCATGAACCAGCAGGCTTCTACAATGATCGTGGTGCGACAGTGGACATACCTCTTGATTCAACTAAGGTAACAGACTTCCATTGTTTCTGTTATTATTGTGGGATTCTGTATTTTACATCATCTGTTCTGCCTAAGAATTTTTTTTACCATGATCATTCATTCTAACACTCTTAAGTATGTAATTGTTGTGCATATGTGTTCCCTTCTGGATTAATGTTTCCGAAGGTCATGTACAATGTTATTGACGAAGGGCCTGGTGCAAGTGGTAGAGTCTTACCGCCTGTGACCGGAAGGTCCCGGGTTCGAGTCGCGGTCTCCTCGCATTGCACAGGCGAGGGTAAGGCTTGCCACTGACACCCTTCTCCAGACCCCGCATACAGAGCGGGAGCTCTCTGCACTGGGTACACCCTTATGTACAATGTTATTGATCAAGGGTGGAGGTCATGTTATTCATTTTTAGATGTTGGATTCAAAATAAATTCCAGATATTCTTTCATTGATGTTTTATGGTTGTTTGATTATGTGTGCTTGTATGTAAATGTAGGACCTAAGTAAAAAGGAGAAAGAACTGCAGGCAAGGGAAGCTGAGCTAAACAAACGGGAAAGGGTATGTGCCTTTGTGATCAAAACTTGAAACCACAATATGCACTTGCATGTTATCCTATGTTCTTCTCTTTTTTAAATCAAACCACGTGTTTACGAATTCTTGAAGTGGTCCTACTGCATTCAATAGTCATTTACTCTCCTGGATAAAAATCATGGCATAAACTGGATGATATCTTGCAAGGCTCCTGGATATTACGATTTTATTGAACTTAAACTAGGTAGCATGCCCGTGCGTTGCTACGGGACAACTAAACTTTTAAAAAAAAACACACGGATCGCACGATAAGATAAGAATACTGTGAAATTAAATACCGATGTTAAAGTGACATTTAATCTAAGGGATAATTGTCTGTTGGACATCCAAAGTGATGGTCGTTTGCTGGCGGACACCTCGTTTTGAGCAGTTTGCCACAAGATACTCTGGTTCGGTGAAATTAGGCCACAGGACACCGTGGACCAGTTGCAGCCGGTTGAGGAGAGAGAAAATTTCGTTTTGGACATCCGGTGCCCCTAAGCCACAGTTGGGTCCGCCCCTCCCTCTCACTGACGCGTGGGCCCCACCTGTCATCTTCTTCTTCCTCCTCTTCTCCTCTTCTCTTCTTCCATTGGTTGAGCTCCCCTCCCCACTTGTCGTGCTAGCGCCGCTCCCTCTTCCCTCACTGTGGCAGGACCACCATTGCCGAGCTCCCATCGCCCGTGCCATCACGGCCGGCCCGCCGGCGCTACGAAGACCCACGTGCCACCGCATGACTGTTGCGCCCGCGCCGCCTTTGCCTCGCCGCCGCCATGACCCTCATGCCGCGCGCTGGTTGCGCGACATGCGCCCCACGCATGACAAGCGTGCTTGCGCTTAATATTCTTCGTCGTCTTGCGCGCAGACACCACCGCCGCGCACGCCGGCGGTCCTCCTCCATGGCTGCCGACTCTCATGGGGGGCGCAAGACGGCCGACTTTGGCGCGTGATCGCGACTACTAAGTCGCGCCCGCGCCTACCTACCAGCGCCACGTCTCTAGTTTGCGTGCTTCTTCTGCATTCACAAGCGTGCCTTTGGCGAAGCTCAAGCTCATGGCCATGGCGGGCTTGGCTCGAGTATCTGGCGATGACCTGCGGGCATGAGTGGGCAAGCGACGACTGTACGGACGGACGCGACACGCTGCGCGGACGCTTGGGTGACTGCAGATCGGGGTGGGCGGTGCTGGACTCACAGACAACCTACTGGGCAGACAGCAGCGGTCAGCAGACCGAGGGCTGGCCGTGGCCGCTGGCGGAAGCGGGGCCGAGGCAGAACCAGAGGCGCAGGCGCGTAGCCACCATGAGCTCCGAGCTCGAACTCATGCCATGGCGAGGGCACCGCGAGAAAGAATAGAAAGAGCCGGGGGAAGAAGAAAGGGGGCGGGTGCGGGAGGCGGAGAGGGTGGCGGGGACAGGAAAAAAAAAAAAAAGAGAAAGGGAGAGAGGAAGAAGAAAGCGCCAGGGGAAGAATGTCATTTTACTGCTGTTCTCTCTCCTCAACCGGCTGCAACCGGTCCACGGTGTCCTGTGGCCTAATTTCACTGAACCAGAGTGTCTTCTGGCAAAATGCTCTAAAGTGGGTGTTCGCCAGCAAATGACCATCACTTTGGATGCCCGCTAGACAATTGTCCCTTAATCTAAAAAGCAAAGTTCGTGAAATTAACACAGTCACGGAGAGCGCATCGTCACGGACTCACCAACTCTACTATATAGACCTTTCTGTGCGTTGCAATGGGAACAAATAATGGCTTGATAACTATGAAAAGAAAATATGTGAAATCGACTTTCACATATTCAAGTAGCCCACATCTTTAAATACATGGAAACAGCCAACGTTAAGAAATGTGCAATATATATGAAAACTTTCACAGATAGTAGCCCTTAAATACATGGAAACAACCAACGTTTAAGAAATGTGCAATATATATGGTTTAGCAACTCTTCCTGAAACCCCCGCGCAGTTGCGCGGGCTAGTGAGCTATAATAACATGTGTACTCATCAAACAGTAAAATACACCATATATATTAGAAGTCATAAATACGGGCACTGCAACATAGGGACCAACTCCATTAAATCATGGTACAAAAGGTAATGGTTTCAGGTGGAAATCAGTTTTTTAATTTCTTCAAATAGTGGATCAGTCACATTGTACAATCAATCATTAGCTTCAGTGAACAGGTAATTTGCAGGCATTGAGTTCTGTTTTGTATAATGTAGAAGTCTATGTATATTCAGCAATTTCAAAGCTATGGCTGTCCAAGTGCAATGGTTTCAAATAGCAATATTTCTGCACCCGTTCTGGATATAGACAGGCAAGCATTATATATTTGTATTGAGGATATGGCATGTAAATTAATATGGGTTTATTACATATACATAGATATATAGTTCACCACTATACTATGATGTGTTAGCTTCCTTCATCTTGTTGACACTTGAGGGTGGTGAAGGTCTCCATCTCATCCTGCCACACAGAAACAGAAAAAAAGATTTATTGTCAACCACTCGCAAGAAAAATGCACGGTGAGGGCTGAAAATCATATCCACTATTATGCACCTAACACTACTATAGGAACCATATCAAAGCCATAGGAGAAGTTTAGTAGTATCTTCAGGCAGTAAAATAGATTCACTTAATTTCGGTCTCAGAAGAAGCATAAAATGAAATGTAATATTTTGATTGAATAGGTTGCCACAAATCAAGTGTAATTTTCCAAGCAATGACATGCCACTAACTAAAAGAATACATTTGTCAACAGATCCCTTATAAGACACATAGTTAATAAGAAAGAGAAGTGCTTAGCTCAAGATACAATAAATATATATGTTTGGCAGCATTATGAATCAGGAGGTCCAGGCAACAAAAAACCACCAATAGGTTAGAATTGATTTACATATTCAGGAATGTACAAAAGAGTACAGAGAGCTTTTCACAATTTAAGTAAATAAATTGTTCATGATTAAGAGCTTTCATTGCAGGGTCTCAAATATAAATACTATGTAGTAAAGCTAAAACTTAATTATAAGATTATTTTCTGGTTCAAAGATTAAGGTCCCCTAAATATCCTCTGAAGTTCAACAGAAAATTAGATCTGCAAGTATAGACTGACAACTTATACATTGCAAAAGTCCCAAACCTTAAATAGCTGAGAGTGCAGTATGTATTTATGAAAATCTTTAATGAATCTCAACAACCGCGTACTTAATATTTTCTGTAGGATACCCATTAAAGTCTTCTAAACTAAATGGCCTAAGACCAAAATGATGAGAAACACACCTACCAATGGAACTTAATCCTACAAATATAGATCTTGACAAATAAGCATTGCTTATGAGGAAGTGTCCAGGGAAGAATGGTTTGCACACAACACACCCCAAAAATAAGAACTGATATTTCCAGACAACCCCATGCATTTGTCACAAGAAAATTGGCAGGCCATAGGAAGAAACCAAAAGCCACAAGCATGAGCATTGAACGGCCAATATCCTACCATGATGTTATGTAATATATTAGTGGAATTAGGTACATGAAGAAGAAATATAAACATCTAACCTGTGGGGGCCACCCGAGCTCACCTGGGCACTCTACAATTTCTTTGCTGAAACCAACCTGGAAAAATATAACCGATAATCATTTATCTAGTATCTAGTATAGACTAATAAAGGGTTGCTTACCATTGTACAATTAGTTACCATCAATCCATCACAATATTTCATTTCCTAATTTTCACGTTGTCAGTGCAGTAGCTCACAGAATATAGAATATGAGGGTGTATTAACTTGATTATTCTCATATAAAGCATAGGCTGCATATTTATCATCAAAGGCATGATGCTTACAGTAATAAAGGTGGCTCCTCTTGCACATGCCACAAAGGAAGATTGGTTGTTGGATCCTGCAGTTATCAGAAAACCTGACCTCAGTAATGTTCCAGCAGCTTAAACAGTACTGCAAACATACAAACAAAAACAATTATAGATAATGCTCGGCCTTCAACGTGTGCTAATGTCTTTGTGTGTCGTGTGCCACTTGGGGTGTTGTTTACTGGGTTACCCTGGGTCTTTCCCGATTTGCATCCCCAGTTCATGTGTATCGTTTGGTTTCCTGAATGCAATGTTCCTCATGTCGCAGTGCATGCACGTTGCAAGAGGCATAAAATCTCAAGGTTTTCATTATTGGTCAGTAACAATAGTGATGACTGTCGCCACCTCAAAGTCATTTCTAACATCACAAAGCAACCTTTTGAACCTACCAAGACACCTGCTCTCGATGACAGTTCAGCTCTAGTCTCCCAGCGCCATCACAAGGCTGGACGCACGCTATTCGCAGTGCCAGCTGCACCTCCTATCCCTCCATCAGGTGACTCTGCTTCTACTGGCTTTCCTAACAATCAACTATCCAGCGCCCTCTGCATTTGTTGCCAAACTGTACCAGACAATGGATAGATAGGATAAGTACCTCATCAGTATCATTCAGAGTAAATCGAATTCTAAAGGCCCAATAGTTAACAGAATCTAGCAGTATCTACAATGAGAAAGAGGGGATGGACTGGAATCTACCATTTGGCACGGGCCTTGAGCTTGAGCGCGGATGGCTGCGGCGCGTTGCAGGGCCCCTCGGTGGCGATCTTGTAGAGGCTGTAGAGGGGCAACTGCGTCTCCTCGACAAAGGCGGAGGCGGCGCTGAACTAAACCCTAGGCCGCGACGAAGGCGGAGGAGGCGGCCACCATCCTCGGTGCTCTCCACGCCTTCCCAGTCGTTGTCGCCAAAGAGAAGATTAATCAGACCAGGTCAACTAAAATAAATTAATAGCAACTTTAAAGGTACTCACGTCAGGGGATTCAACCAACAGAGCTCTGAGCTCAAAATGTTCCCAAAATGACCCAGGACACCTGCAGGTTCACCAGCATCCGAGCACTGCAACAAGAAATCCAACACATATTAGCCAATTGGAAGCAATACTCCACTTACTATTCAAATGGTGAGATGGATCAATGAAATGTACCACTTCCTAACACAACGCACAGACATTTCCTGAACAACGTTACAGGGAACTGTAATTGGCAAACTCAGGTGGGGTATACCAAAACCTTTTATTTTATATTTGATCTTTGTACTATTTAGTTTGGATCAGATAAATAGCTGCTCAGAATTTTGAAGCATGGGTTCTATTTTGACCTATGGATGTTACCTACGTTAACATGATACATATACATTTGCCCATTAACTAACTTTTGGACATTTAAATTACAGTTGATGAATTAGTACATGTCTTGAGTTGTCCTAGATAAACAGAAGAACATCATCCGCTTAAAAGCATATCAGAGAAAGAAAGCTCAGCAATCAGCTACTTAAAGATATTGTCAGGTAGGGAAAAGTTGATCCACAGGCCTACCTCAGCCACCACCGTTGCCATGGTTGTCATGCGTGCTGGTGCTATTAGTGTCCCTCTCCAGCCCTTAAGCACAGCCACCCTCTCCAACCCTGCAGCACAGACACGCTCTGTCGGTAGGCCTACTCAAGAAGATATGCAGTGAAGAATCTAATTTGATAGTCCACATGGATGTTATATTCTCTAATAATATTTTGCAAATTAGTTAGTCGTTACTCTTCAGATATGAAACTGAATGAAGTTCAATTCCTTTTTCCTCACACTTGATTTGTTTTATTCAACACAAGAACAATTAAATCCATAGAGAAATAAAATGTTTATCCCTATCAATTTAACCCTGTCAATTTATCCAACACCTTTGTTAGCAATGGTTCAATTTGGACCTATGGTTTGTTTCCTAGAAATTGCAGAACATGGACTGGAACTTTACCCAGCATCGATATTTTGACATGTGATTTTGATGTATCGCCAGTTATAAGTTTGTGTGCTTAGGAACAATTTGCTTTCTCAGGTACATCAAAACTCAAAAGTCTAGATTTTCAGCACAACCAAGAGCCCCCTTCCTAAGAATCCCTTCAAGCTTTTCATTCTTAATTTCAGCTAACTAAGTGTAGTTCCTCTGCTGACTTAACGGAACAGGGACACAATAGAAGATATGTCTGTCACAAAAAAAAAAAATCAAAACAAACATCGCCTACACAAGTACACAGGAAACTTGCACACATAAAGCAGTAACTGAAACAGCAGACTTCCCTCACTGACAAAAACGGCACTGCCACACACTATCTACTTCCTGCTGAAAAACAAAGAGTTGTACATTATTGTTAATAGTATATTGGAATTGTACAACCAGATTTTTTTCAATCCATGTGAAAATGCAAACCGGTGACTTAGTAGATCGGCACCTAACACGTGAAGAAATTTGGACATCCCAGTGCAGCAGCGAATGTCACTTGGGTGGTGAGGATTCTATTGAATGGTTGAACCACGACCTTTTTAAAAAAATAAAAATAAATAAATATCAATCACCCCACCCTAATTGAGCCATGAATGGATAGGACTTGAGGATTAGGTTAACACCACCAAACAGCATACAGATACACAGCTAATTTAAGGAATTGAGTCTGATGAGAACAAAAAAAATAATCTTTCTTAGAACGACGGAATCCATCATGCAGGGAAGCCAGAATCGCTAGCACGCGAAGGAACAGCTCTCACCTGGAAGATAGCAGCCCCCACTGGACCGAGAGAGAGAAGGACAGCGGCCGATGGCTGGAGGGTTTGTCCAGTATAGGAAGGGACCGGCGGCATTAAGCATGGCGGGGATGCATTGGGAGCCTCCCTTCCCCTACGCAGTTGAGGCGGAACTCTGGGAGGCCGCTTGTACTCTTCAACGAAGTAGAAACAGACGTTCCTCACGTGGCGAGCTCGAGCTCCGGTGTACGGCGGCGGCGATGGGGAACTGGGATTTGTGAGGGTTTGTTGGGACGGGGAGCTCGGTCGGGTCGAGTCGATTGCGGCTGCGAGCGCGTGGTCGCGATGGAAACGGGGGACACGCGGGCGCGGGGTGAGGCTCCCGGACACGCACGGCAAGCAGCACGAGGGAGCGTGATTGGGGGCAAGATCTCGCAGGGAAGGGCCGGGTGGGCGAGAGAGGGAGCGCCACGCGTGAATGGGTGGGCGAGCGAGCGACGAGCGGATTGCACGCAGGCAGACCGAGTCTACGGGCTCCTCATCCTCCATGGCCACACCGCCGTCGCGAGCTCCTCCCGCGTGAGGCCGCGCAGGGCGGCAGCGGCCGTGTCCTCCCCCACGGGCGGAGATGCGGTCGGCAGGTAGCCCGACGTTTTTTTCGGAAGAAAAGAAAATAGGGCACGGGGCATGGGAATCGAACCCCGGCTGCCCGAGGTGCGGTGCGTCCGTGCGGGGGCGCGGGCGGGATCGCAGGGGCGGGGCAAAGCGACGACCCGAAGCAATTGTCGCACGAAACCGTTGTCTTAGTTTTGTTCTTTTTAGTTGTAGGAGATATGTAGCAGTACAGAGCCAGCAAAGTATTATGTTTACTGTTCCAGAGTTACTGAAACAGTAACCGACTAACCATGATGCAATATGGTAGCTACTCAGCTTAAGTTGACATGACACTTAACAGACCGCTCCTAACCATTAAGTAAATCATCAATAAGTTCACCTTTGGGCTGAAACTTTTAAAGAATGAGTAACACAGAGAACATGGCATTTCCATGCTGCCACTTATAGTGCTTTTAGGTGAAGGATACCAATGTATTTGCCAATTGCACATTGTTCCCAACAGTTCTTCTACTCATTTGTTCTTTTTTTTTTTGTAGAAGATTTGTTGTGTTTATCACATGAGAGACTTTGACATATTGGTCCAATATACTGAACCTAATAGTGACCTGTGTCGACCAGTTTTACCCAGAATCAACAGTTGCTCTGCGATTTTCATATATTTGGAACAATCCAGTTCCGTTTATAATAGTTCACCTAAATTTTCAATTCTTTAGATGCTGACCTGATTTTCTTCCCTTTGTTTCCTTGACCCTCAGGAACTGAAAAGAAAGGAGGAAGCTGCAGCCAGAGGTAGATTATTACTTATATCTGGGATTGACTTGTCTAACAGAACATATTTGAAGACAGAAATCATGTGATGGTATAAAACTGTTAGTTTGTGAATGAGGGATTTATAGGAATTTTTTTCGAGTGGTCTAGTCATTTATGTGTTGCTCTAAGGCTTTAGAGGTTAGGACTTTAGTTTACTCTTTTCTGTTAGTACTCCCACTTATTGGTGGTTTATAAAGGCTCCTTTGTTTGAAATGTTACTTTGTGTGCTCCATTCTTGCAAAAGTCACTTCATTTATCTCACTTCTCACCAAGAATAACTAGTTAAGCTAATGTGTTGCTTATTGCTCATGCTGTAGTGATTTTACAAGTTAGGAGTATCTTTTAGTAATATGTCCTTTTCCTTTCTTTTGACAGCTGGTATTGTCATTGAAGATAAGAATTGGCCACCCTTTATGCCCATTATTCATCATGACATTGCAAACGAGATACCAATTCACCTACAAAGGATGCAGTACCTGGCGTTTTCTTCACTGTTGGGTAAGTGTCAATTACTTGTTGCCCTCCTATCGTGGGAAATAACTTGATGAAAGAAGTAAATTACTTGGTAAGCCTCATTTTTTTGACATCCAGTATGTCGAAATAAATGGCATCGCAGCATTATCTTGTTGTATTTGAAACTGTTATTGTCACATGGGAAATGGCATTCTAATACCGAGAAATTTCATCTGAATTTTGACTTCAATTTTCTCTTTGTGCTGACTGCATATACCTTTTGAGGTAGAGAATTTCAGACAAACCCAAACCTGGGCCTTATTTCCAAAATGCAGTTCTTGATAGTGAATCCTGTGCGTTCCTTGATCAACATGTAAACAATATCACTCTTCTTTTCGGCATGGCTTAAATTTCCCATCATCATCGATCAATGTCCAAAGCAATTCTCACAAGTTGTATTTGGAATCAGGATAGTGGTAGCCCCAGATGACAAGCATGCTAGCAGACATTAAAGATGGGAGACGAGATCTAGACACCATTGTGCATTGTCTTAGCATTGCTCGACCAAGGTCCTTATTGTGCAAAGTTTGATGTTATGCAGGATTGACAGCCTGCCTTTTTTGGAACATCATTGCAACTACAGCAGCATGGATTAAATCAGAAGGTATGGGCATATGGCAGAGTACTTCATTTCTACATCTTGTGAATCAAACTACCAACTTGGAACTAATCCAGTGGCTCGGTTGAATAGGTGTCATGATCTGGTTGCTAGCAATCATCTACTTCATCTCTGGTGTCCCTGGGGCCTATGTGCTTTGGTATCGCCCGCTTTACAATGCGATGAGGTTGCGTATATGTTTCTGCCTTGGCTATTCATGCTCATTGCCACATTGTACCATACTCCATTTCACATTATGTTTATTTAAATATGTATTACAGGACTGACAGTGCTTTGAAGTTTGGGTGGTTTTTCTTGTTTTACCTGGTAAGATTATCATCATGTCATATATTAGACTAAAAAGCCTTTTCACTCCTTGCTAATGATCTTTACCCCTTCCAGCTCCATATACTATTCTGTGTCTGGTCAGCTGTGGCTCCTCCATTTCCATTCAAAGGAAAATCTCTGGCGTAAGTGTTATGTGATTTGGAGTACAAATGAAGTTACTATTTATTAGGTCATGCACAAATCTGATAGTTACTTGAGGATAAGAGGGCACTGCTTGGATCCTGAAAGAATTTTGAGTCTACTAGTGCCATTTTGCACTAGGACAAAATTTACTGCTGCATGGCCTTTTCGTATGTTTCACAAGCCTTAGTGGATTTTAATGTACTACTCTGGTGATGTGTGAAACTGTTTTGTATGTTCAATAACTAGTTTTGTGTTACTTTTAACAGTCACCTGTTACTGGTAGTGCTGCTAAAATTTAGGTTGTATACCTAGACCAATTCTATTGCTGCAGTAAAGTGCTAAGAATTTTGTAGCAACTATATTTCTGACTATTATCTCTGTTCACTCATATTATTTAATGTCTAACGACATTTCCAATTTTTGTCTGTACAGTGGGATTTTGCCGGCTATTGATATCATAGGCAGGAGTGCTATTGTGGGGGTAAAGTCTAAACTGCTTAACTTACTGGGGGTTTGATTCAAGTTTATTTGGATCATCATATGAAGTTATACAATACCAGCAAACCATTATATATGAGGGATCCCTAGCTAAACATGATCCAACCTTTAAATCTGTGATGGACCTCTTGCATCTTGCACCAGTCCTAGGCCTGGCAGTACCTGACGCTTTGCCTTTTTTTTTTTCCTGATTGGTTGATCGAACATATTCAATTATTCTTGAGTAAGCAAATTCACATCTTGTCTTGTAACTGCTCACTCATTTTACACTGTCACATTTTTGTTTGCCAGATATTTTACTTCATTGGATTTGGAATGTTCTGCCTTGAATCACTGCTCAGCATCGTTGTTATTCAGGTGGGTTTCATGTTTTTACCTTTTGCTGTCCCTAGAACTGATGTGTAGGGACATTCATTAGGAATATGCTGTCTATGCCTCATGCATCATAATCTTTCTTCAAGTTTCGATTATTCTAGAAGAGAACTGTTCTGAGATATTATTATTCTGAACTTGTGGAAATACAGCAAGTATACATGTACTTCCGTGGAAGTGGAAAAACTGCAGAGATGAAGCGAGAGGCGGCCCGTGGTGCTATGAGGAATGCCTTTTGATAGAGCGGCCTTGGTGACTGGAAGAGACAGGGTGTGACAATGGGTAACTGCGTTATGTACATTTGCTGTTCGTCTCTGAGATTACTTATACTAGCTTATAGCCTTCTTGCCTTCATGCAATATATACCGCCTACCCTCCTCCACTTCCGGAGCTTGATCTCTTACCTAGGTTCAGATTCAGATGTGCTTATAGGTAACTAGTTTTTTTTAATACATTTCCTACCTGATTTGTACTCTTAACTCGCGAGATAATTGTTGTTGTTCTTTGGATCTCGAGTGATTCTTTGCGCGGCCTGAAACCACTTGGTTCTGAACTTTGTCAAATTCTTGCTGAAGTACATACTCAGGTCATCTTCTTTTCTTTGTCTTTGTCTTTGCTTACTGTATCTTTTTATCAAGGTATGGTTCAGATATTGTATTAGGCAACAGAAGTTCCAGTAATAACAGAAACATGAGAAGATATTGCTGGCTGTGCTGAAGCTAAAGCTTATTATCATCCCGTGCAATTCATCTGCACGTAATTATTGCATAACACTAGGGCTAGCTAGATCAGAAACTGTTACTGTAGCAAACAGATGATAAGACTTAGGGAATAAAATCGAGGCTCGTGCCTATATAATATAAACAAATGAGTGGGGAAATAATCTATTTGCCGCTCATGGCGGTCTGAGCTTGTTGCACCTTGGCCCCAAAACCGCACTTCTTTGGGAGGAGGCTCCAGGACCTCCGGGGCGTCCCGAGCCGGCGGATCTCCTGCTTCATGCTCTTGCACTCCTTCTCCAGCTCCGACACCCGCACTTTCACGTCGGTGATGGTCTCCTTCCCCTCGGGTGCGTCGCCCTCTACGTCACTGTCGGCCTCTGCTTGCGCGCTTCCTGCGATGGCCGCGGCGCCCTTGGGGACGATGGCGCCGCCGGAGTGTGGGCGCGCGCCGTCGCCCCCCGCCGCGTTGTCGGACACGAAGAACCACCCGGTGATGGACGTGCGCAGGCGGAGCTGCTCGAAGAAGAGCACCTGCACCACCACCCGAAGCGGCAGCCGCTCGTTCTGCGCCGCGTGCGTGCACGCCTCCAGCGACAGCTTCTGGCAGTTCAGCAGCCGGCACAACTGCTCCCTCTCCGATTCTGACAGCCACGGGTGCGACTGCAATACGTACAGGTGCATGCCGATAAGATCACGAAAGGAACCGTGAACGCCCACAGCTCAGCGATGTGTACCTTGAGGTATATGTCGGTGGCGCGGTAGATGCCGTCGTCGACGGGGCGCGCGTAGTCGGGCACCACGGCCGCGAGCGCCTGGAACTTGGGCAGCTTCAGGTTGGTGTCCGGCGCCACCTCCGCGAGGAAACCGTCCATGAGCCTGGCCACCATGGTGATCGGTGACAGCGATGACGACGGCGTCCCGCCTTGGGGTATCCCGAGGCTGCCGCCACCCTCCTCTGCCAGCGCCGGCGACGTGTACCCGGTCCCGATCCCGTCCGTGGACGACATGAAGTAGTCCAGGATCCGCTGCACGCAGTCGATGTCATAGAGCGTCTCGACGTGGTAGCCGAGGTTGGGCACGAGCAGGTCGTCCAGCGATGCGTCCTCCAGCTGCGCGCCGATCCGGCGCTCCAGGTTCTCCCGGCACAGCGGGCTGGCGTGGAGGAGCATCGCCTTGCGCAGCATCCCCAGCAGGAACTTGGTGGAGGCCACGCCCTTCTTGGTCGGCAGCAGCGCCACGATCTCCTCCAGGAAGTACCTCTGGTCGCCCTCCGACGGCGCGGACACGCTGGCGGCGCGTGGGGTGATGTTGCGGCTGCTCATGCCGCCGCCGCTGTCGGCGCCGTAGCTGGCCAGCGCGTTGCTGAAGCTGGTGTCGCGCTTCAGCCCCGGGAGGAACCGCCCGGCGTAGAACATGATGGCGCCGGCGATGCTCTCGGCGCGCATGCCCTTGGCCTCCATCGCCTGGATGAGGCGCTTGAACATGGGCAGGCTGAGGAACGACACGTCCTCGTACCACCAGTCCATCCCGGACGCCGCCGCCGCGGCGGCCTCGGCGGACGCCGTGTCGCCCGATCGGATGCCGTTCCAGAGTGCGTCCTTGTCGACGACGCTGGCGTTCCTGACCAGCGGTGCGGCGGCGTCGGAGGCGCAGGCCCTGGAGGCCAGCGCCGTGATGCAGCGCGAGACGAGGTGCAGGTCCTCGGCGGTGGGGAGGACGCCCTCGCAGGTCTCGAGCGCCTTGATGGAGTCCTTCCAGTTGGCGAGCACGTCGGCGAGGAAGGACTCGGCCTGCGTGATGAGGTTGCCCTCGGCGTAGTCGTCCGTCATGCGCAGGTACTCGGCGGCGCAGCGGAGGCACACCACGTTGAGCGCGTTGAGCTCGATCTTGACGTCGTAGCAGAACTTGGCCGCCAGCTCGAAGGCCTTGGCGCCTCCGGGGATGTCGTCCAGCTGCAGCGTGCACATGCCGCCGCCGCCGCCGTCCGCCGGAGGCTGGTACTCGCTGATCATCCGCTGCAGCACGCCGCTCCGGCTCAGCAGCGGGAACTGCATGCATACCACCCAAGAGGCGCGGTGGTTCAGAGCAAGCCGAGATCGAGATTCAATAATAAAATGTGGCACTAACTAATTAACCTTGTGGAGGTAAAAGGACATCTCTCCTACTTCGACAACAACATCACTCTCAAGCTCGGTCGTGCATCTCCTGGGAATACATGACATCAAGGTGAAAATGTGATTTTTTTTTTGAATTCTAAAGATAGAATGCTCGATCCGAGGAAGATGCATGGGTATGGGTAGAGTAGCTGATCCGGTAGAAATGGGCCACTTTTGCACATGCAGTACTTCACAGAATAAAATTCATTGAAACGCCGCATACTGTGACATCAGGAGTAAAATTCGCTTTTAAACTGGAGGCAAGAAGGATATAGAGATGCTACCATAAAAAAAGTACATAATTTAGGGTTTACTGTGCCAAAAGAGATTGGCATATTTCTCGTAGAAATCTGGCCTACATAATGTAATCGTGAATCAACGACACAACTGAAAGAAAACGAGAAAATCGAGATAACCATGTGAGGTCTTCGAGGACGAAAATCTCCGGCTTGGAACCCAGCTTCATGGTCGCCATTCGCCTCCTGCGCCAGTTCGTTATTCCAGTCGACTACTCCGGGATGATCTACCAGCCGGCCGAGGCAAAGCAGGCTGATGGAGTGGTGGTATCCACTGCTTTTATGCTTGTGTTTTTTTGGAAATGGAAGGCCAGGAAAGACGGTGGCCAAGTATTTATGGGACAGATCAGAGATGGAAGGAAGTCGATGCGCTCATGCAGACAATGGCGAGAGGAATTTTTTTAAAAAAAAAATGGCGCGGCCAGTCAAAGCTAGGCCCGGGTCCAAGGGATGGGGCCATGCATGCATCTCGTAGGAGTCGTAGGAGCACTGCCTGGTAGTGGTCACTGTCGGGCCTTGCACCACCTGGCCAGCAAGATCCACTTCTCAGGGGTTATCTGTTCGACCGTTCGCATACAAGTGAAACTATAGACTGAAGGAAGCCGTGATCTTTGATGGCTCGCTGGATGTAAGAGCTTACCGAACTAATGATATTATTAGTACATACAATTTAATACATATTAGATGATACTAATATATTTTAAAGAATTCCAAGGCATAATAAAATAAAATAGGTACTTTAAGAGTATAGGTACAAAAAATAAAAATTATGGTCATAAACTTGTATTATTTTTATGTCACGCAACATATCTTGATACATGCAATCAATACAATGTATTTTCTCAGCTAGACTAATAAGATACGATCAACCAAACAGTGAAACCAATTACGCCCTATATTTATTGGAACAATGAAACCGTAGGCACAAGGTGTCTGTCCAATTGAGTTGTGTTGCAATCCACGTGTGTGTTTGGTTGTCGGAGAAAAGTTGCATCGTATTTCAATCCTGCACGTGAGAATGCAAGCTATGACACTTTAAGCAACAGACTGAACGCGCATCTTTCTGCAATCTGCATTATACGGCCCAGCAGATGCAAGCAGCCAAGCATCAAGCATGCAGGTGGGTCATAATTTATCGAGCTAGAAACTGACCCAAACTACCCAATATAATTTGATTGGTTTTTGGGTCGACCCAAACCCACGGAGCCTAAAACTACAAACAACATTCCTCAGAAACAATATACTCCCATTGGTCACCAGTGTCATAGGCTCCGTGGGTTTGGGTCGACCTAAAAACCCACGGAGCCTATTATATTTTAGTATTTTTAAATGCATATTTTCCTAGGAAAAAAACTAGATAATTTGTTGAAAAATTATTCTATAATTTTTTAGAGAAATTCTAATTGTTCCTAGACTATTGGAAGAGTCTAATTTATCTCTATCGATGTTGATGTGACAATCAAGTAGGATGGCTAATATGGCAGCATGTCATTACCTGCTAAACTGATTTTAAAACTGCTTATAGAGATAAATCGGATCATTTCCAAAGCTGAAAATTTAAAAATCTGATTTTACAATGTAAAAAGGCAAATATAATTTCGTAACCGAGAAACATCAAAAGTTTCTTCTCTATCTTTTTTCTAGTGACTGCAGACCTACTACCGCTAATAGGATAACACTTAACAGTGAGTGGTTCCAGCTACCTCGTTGACATTTGACAAGGGTTCATACTCCATGGCCCACGGACGGCGGCGTGCAGGTCTACAGGAGGGAGTAGCCTTTTTCCACGTTCCCAGCCAAGGGCTTCTTTGGAACGCCGGATTAGAAGAACAGAGGAATAGGAGAAACTCAGGAATATGATAGGATTGTAGGTGAGAAACAGAGGATTAAAAATCGTAGAAAATTTTGGGTGCTCGTTGTTTGGATGGGCACAGAAAGTATGTAGGAATGGAAAACTTAGGAAACTTAAATCACCTACTCGTATCATATTAGCCAACTATATATTTGGTTGGTAATGTCATTAGAAAGAAATGCAAAAGTAGTTAGAATGAAGCCACTTACAAGT